CTTGGTTTTCTTTAAAGCCTCCTCAACTTCTTTTTTGCTAATGCGACGGTAAAAATGAAACGTTTTATTATTATTTACGATATTAAAATCACTAAGTTCGATCGTATTTTCAGAAACTTCATTAAAAAGTTTATCAAAGTAACTCACCCACCTATGTTGAATATCTTTTTCTAAGAAAAATACTTTTTGATTTTCATCTTTAATACACTTTACTTGAGTTAAATCTTTACTTTTCTTTTCTCTTTGTTTGGCTAGTTTATACATATATTTTTCACCCTCCTTAGTATCTAATCTATTATAAAGATCATTAAAAGCAGAATTTTTAGCATCACAGATTGTTCTTTTAGACTCCCTGCGAGCCGTTTGATATTTTCAGTGAGTTCAAGAGTCGCGAAGAATAAAAATGAATAGATGATGAGTGAAGTGCCAAAATAGTCCCATGGCTATTTACATGGAATCCTTTTTGTCCCAAAGGTTATAAAAGTGCTAAATTATTCCCTAGACTTTTTTAATGGGGCTAAAATATTCATTATTTGGAGTTATTTCAACCAATAGTAAAACAATTTGGGATTTAAATTGACACATTTATAAACTCTAGGACTAAAATGACCCTCTGCAAAGAGTTCTAAAGAAAAGATTGGTGTTTGGTTGATATTTTGATCTTTCCAAACATTAAGGAGAACACAAAACATGTTCATTTGAATATTGGTCTTATGTTTAGTAATAGGTGTGTTGGTTGTTTAAAAGCATTCAACAATTTTTTAAAGGTTGTAACATTCTCTTTCAATAGAAAATTATTTTGAAAAAGTTGACAGCGGAGATAATTCAATAAAAATTGTAGATGGGCACTTCTACAAGAATTGAAAAGCCAGAATAAATTCAATGAAGTTTTTAAGTGTGAAAGACAAAATTGATTAGTCAAGTTATGAGTAATTTTCTTGGTGAGTTAAGATGTGAATCTACCTAATAATCCCAACTTACCATGAAGCATACCAGCACAATGTTCAAGAAACCGATGAAACTTATTATGGAGTACTGGAATCCAAATAGCATATTTGATACTAATTTCTTCTCCAATTCATCAAATAGGAATCCAAATAAAACAACATGGCTAGCACATATATTTAAAAAAAAAGTTCATTATTTTTAAAATTGTTACAACACAGAACACTAATAAAAATTTTCTAAATCATAAAACAAAAACTTGAAGCTAGAATATTTGAACCATCTCTACCAATTTGTTTTTTATTTATTTCTTTATTTTTCTTTCTACATTCACCCCAACAAAAGAGAAATCCAGGATCCGTGTGACATTTTCTCAGTTTTGCTAAAAGTTGAAATTTAATGGGAAGAAGGGACAGCTGAACCATATTTAAATGTGACAGTCCATCCAAAAGTACTTCTATTAACGCTGTTTGAATCACATAATGTCGTTTGAACTCGTCTCACATCTGTTAAGGACTTCTTATGCATTTAATTAACTAG